CTCACTACATATAGCGATCTTGTAACCTCGGCACGGTATGGCATGATATGGCATTTATCAGGTAAATGTTCCCAAGAAGAAGAGAGAAGCTGGAGAGTAAATGCCAAAAATACTCTCCAGCTTCTCTCTTCTTCTTGGGAACATGTACCTGATAAATGCCTTATGAGCTGCAATGAGGAAAATCACAACATTGGCTTTCTTCCCAACAAGAAGAGAGAAGCTGGAGAGTATTTTCGGCATTTACGGTGTAAAAACTATGGAAAGTCTCAGAATTTAATCGGTAGTAGGTCGAGCCAGCCGTCATGCTCACTCTAGTCCACCTTTAATGGGGTTGGGGCATCTACTACCAAGTAGAAGAAGGTTGCAGAAGAACAGTGTAGTCGTTGTAACCTTCATGCAGTCAAGCATACAAAAAACGAGGTTATTCAATGAAATAACATCATAGACAAAATTAAGTCATTCTGCCAAATGGAAGCGCGCACGCCCTCACGCTGCGCAAGTCAGCAGGACCACCCTCAAGAGGATGATAAATGCCTATGTAACACTCGATGCGCTCAAAGGACCCCAGATTTCATGTCTATCCCAATGACGAGCAAGAAGGAACATATGCCTCTGCTCTGCTCCATCCAAGGGGCACCTCGGAAGAAGGCAGGTAAATCTTTTTGCTTTCGACCCCTTTCAATATTTGCCATTCATTCATTTTTTGAACTTAGTAGGGATTTCTCATCTCATTTTTTCCCGTCGTCAGTGAAATATTCCTTCTACTTCTTTACCTGACTGAATGAGGATATCAGCAACAACTACGAAGAACTGGCCTCTTTTCCGGTGGCCTGAATTTGAGGAAGAAATGTATTTTAAGGAAAGTTTCATTGCTCTCTAGAAGTCGGGACGAGGAGCATTGGAATCACATTCTGATATTCTTGACATTACAAGCACATAATACAAGAATCAGTCGTTAAATCACCCAAATAAGAGAAATGGCAGGAATCCACATGCTTTCCAACAGAGTTCCTTCAGCGAAGTATTCACAAATCTCGGATAACCAGATAATAGATCTCAATCAGGGCTGCTACTTTATTCCAAGAAATTGGTTTTCAAACGGCCTTTCAAACGCATTACTATAACAGTTTTTAGCGCCAATTTCACAGGTTCACCGGGACACTCTATCCAAAACCTTGTCAATGCCTTGTGAACGGCACACTCCTATCCGTCTAGGCAGCATCGGCGTGACTAATTGATATAATACTCCGACACATTTCTGTTGACATTCCAGATTGTAGCTGAGCGTTTTCCGCGGATTACGTGCCTTTTTTCGAAAATTTGATCTGTATTGTATGCGTATTGCTAAGGGAAATTAATACGCAATGCTCGTCCTTTGTAGAATTATACCAGGAATTCTCTATCTGTGACAGTTTCTGCGAACAAGTGCGAAAGGAGCCCAATGTTGTGGTTTCTTACTGCAGCATTCAAAGGCATTTATCAGGTAAATGTTCTCCGAGAGAAGAGAGAACAACATCGCGGTCATGTGGGTGCAGCCTACAGGTGTGGCCAGCTCACTTGTAGGCAAGTAAGGCTGCGTTTATACTTTGCGGCAGCGTAGCGTAGCGCTTCCAGCGTACGCCAGCGGCAGTGCCGAAGAGAGGATGCATATCGATCTAGCTTCACCAGCGTCACCAGCGGCACCGCTAGCGCACGCCAGCTGAAGCGGCACGGAAGCATAGCTATCGATCTAGCTTCACCAGCGTTTCTCGAGCGTTTCTCCAGCGGCACCAGCGTTTTGCTAGCGCTTGCAGCGGCAGGGAGTAGAGACTATGTGGCCGTGAGAGACGCGGAATCGACGTGTATTGTAGAGACCATGTGGCCGGCAGAGACGCGGAATCGACGTGTATTGTAGAGACTATGTGGCCGTCGGAGACGCAGAAGCGATGTGCATTGTAGAGACTATGTGGCCGTCGGAGACGCAGAAGCGATGTGCATTGTAGAGACTATGTGGCCGTCGGAGACGCAGAAGCGATGTGCATTGTAGAGACTAAGGGCGAGTGAGAGACGCGCAATCGATGTGTTTTGTACCCTCCAGCTCTCCCATAGTCTCTACTCCCCTGCCGCTGCAAACGCTAGCAAAACGCTGGTGAAACGCCTGTCGTATAGCGAAGGCTGTCACCAGCGTGCGCTAGCGTAGCGCCAGCGTGGCCGCTGTGACGCTGGTGAAGCTACGCTGCCGCAAAGTATAAACGCAGGCCTAAGGGATGATGATACTTTGCTTAACACCCAGAAAACTCGGCCGTTGTTAAGCAAAGTGTCATCATTCCTTGCTTGTGGCTGGCCAATACGCTGCTTAACCTCGAGAATTACCTCCGGCTTCCAAATGCTGGTAGAAACGAGGCACTATGACTATGAATAACTCTACAATGGCAGCGTAAGTGTTGTTTCAATTAACGGCACATACTTGAATTCCGAGCATAGAATGGGCTGAAAAGTGGTATCTACGTACCCGAGGGAACCAAAATTTGCAGCAACAGTAAAGCTACCAGCCTGCAGAAACTCTCTAGAACACTTCGCAGAAATTAGGGGTCAAACTCTACAAGATTTATTTTGGTTCTTCCTGAACAATGCGTTCAAAGCAGACTCTTCGTTCAGCCTAACATTGATTGTGAGAATTGATGTCGAGGAAGGAAATCCTCCTAAACGGCGTTCGTATATAGATGTGAACAAACAAAACACTTACCTATTTGTATCCAGAATTTTCTCTTGAATAGTTTGCAGTTGTATTAATTCAGGCCGCCAATGGAGCAGGTGCCGAAGATCCGCTTGGAGTCATTCTGCAGTATAGAGGGTTGGCATTCCAAGCAGGTGGCGATGGTACACTCGAGCAGCACATCACCATTCCCAGTCAGTTGTTTTTCACTTGTCAGGAAAACTGGTCACATAGCTCCAAGAATTTTGTATTTGCAGACATTTTGAAGAAGTACAACCCGAATCTTTTTGGCTATTCTGTCGGAATCGGATCACCGAACGTTTGGGAAGTGTCCTATCTGAATGTTGCGATGCCCGGTGCCATCGCTGCTGATCTCCCTGGACAGGCTCGCACGCTCATCTCCCTGCTCCACACTCATTCCGAGGTTAGCAGTTCTCCCACCATTTAGTTCTTAGTTTCAGCCCCTTCAAACGAATGCTTCTTGTACTGCTGATGACGTCGCAATCTGTCGAGGCGGTTCTAAGAGGGAGGGAATGAGCACATCAGCTTCGTTTCCTCCACTGGTTGTTCTCCTTTTGAATCGTTCACTAACCGACACCATTGGTAGAGCAAGGCAGCCGGAGGCGGGCTCACTCCGCTCTTCCGACTCCGCCCCGACTGATTGCGACGATATCAACTATGTACACGTCTAAGTCATATAAAATTTCTCACGAAGATACTAGGCGGAACAAAGGACAGTATTAGCAAAAAGGTTTATCACTACGATTGATCTTTATTTGCCAACACTTCGCACCATAAACCATGAACAAATTTCAGTCCGTCAACTTCAATGAGGACTGGAAACTGCTGAATATTTTCATTGGTGGAAACGATATGTGCTCATTCTGTAAAGATCATGTGAGTAACGATAAGAAGATCCGTAAGGCTGTATTCATACTTCGCGCTTCGAACGATTCATTCGCTCATCTCTCAAATCGCTCGAACTGCAAAGTATGACCGCGGTTTGGGGCATAGCTGAACCAGTTGTTTCAGTCACTGGAGCCTGCCGAGTGTGTTCAACACATAGAAGAAACAGTGAAGATCATCTACGACAATGTGCCGAGAGTGATTGTCTCTATCACTGCAATGCTTCAACTCGAAATCCTGCGACAGTCTGACAAAGGCAGACTCTTCTGTGAAGGACTCCATAAGTATTAACGAATTTGCTTAGGTCAGCGCAAAACAAATGGCTAATCCGAAATTTCAGGGAAGAATGCCCATGTGAAAGTGACGTGAAAGACTTCAACAATACCTATTTGGCCAACGTGAGTTTTATACAAGTTATCCTAAGCAAGAACTCAATAATGGCTAGTCAACTCCTAGGCATGTATCGACTACGCGAATCGAGAAATGGTCTTGCTGCTTCTGGAAAATATGACAATAATATGATTTGCTGTTGTCACCCCCAGCCAATTCTTGCCGCGACACTCAGCACTGCCTGCCGATGTAAGGTAACCATTCGGAATAATAATTGCATAAAATGCTCTCTTCGACCTAATCCCCTTGGAATACCCTCGCCCCCCACCATGGCCCAACTTCTATGAAATTATATGTATATCCGTGTTCTCTCCCGTCTTGTCGCATACTTACAGGCATTTTACCACTTTAGCCACCAAACCCTTATACGCAGCATCCGCGCTCCTCGGTTTTTTTAAAAAGTCGGCCTGTCCCATTGCAACAAAGATTCAAACCCCGTGAATGGAGGTGGCGTCCTGCTTTCTTCACTCTTCCCTCCGTCACAATCGGCATATACACCGAAATCTCGCTCCGAAGCTAAGCGTGGCCGCATGTTTCAACTTAACCTGAAGGGGTCTACGCTTCTGGTGAGATATTTTCATCTTGACACAATTGTTGTCGTGTCTCTGTCCAACACAGAACAAGATGACAGTTGTCCCAGACTGGAATATTCCACGAGTAACCAGTTCCGTGCATGTTCAAATGCCACGCCCACTCTGGCTCAGGGATAAGGAGTGTAATTGTCCGCATAAAGGGAGAAGGTGGTGTGACGGCGGACACCCCCTCTCAGAACAGTAGCCAACTAAGCATTCCGTTCCTCCATGTCCGGTGAGCAGTACTTAGATTCACCGCTGATTTGTGACAAAGTATACAACTGCTTTCTCCTTTGGGTCGTTAGTCGGCCAAATCATTTCGAGCGAAAGTAGGATGCATGGCACATCCCAACAGTTAGTCGAACCCTGAAGCCTCACCTCCAATTCTTATATGCTTACTCGCGCTCGCCGCATGTGAGCCCTCTTTGCCTCGCTGAGCAGGTGGATCAATCTGCATAATAAAAAAACTTCTGTGACTATGAAGGCGACGTGAACAAGATTCCAACGTCATGATCATTAAAGGGACTTTCTGCTGAAAAGTTCCCGCCCCTCGATTGAGATAAGCTCCACGTGACCATGAATGCACTTTCTGGTCCAACATCGCGATAGATAAAGAACAACACAAATTCAGGAAAGTGAGGTGAGCACCAAAACGCGGAATTCAAGGTGACCTATCATTCAGACTAACACTGGCCGCCCGCTACTTGCAACATTAAAATTGTTAGTCTCCCGCATCCGTGCTCGAAAGGTGTACATGGCTACGCTATGCACCCCGCTCAGTGAGCCATGGTTAGAGACAGCCGTCTCCACGTTACACAGCTCCAACTCATGTCTTTCCATCCCTCTCGGAGACGCAGTATATGTGACACGTGATTATCTCCGCAATTCTCATTAGTTACAGTGACCAATGACGGTTCAGGTTTCATCAAGCGTTGCGTTTAACAGCAGTTAGGAAATATCACTGACTACTACTGGAGGAGAACGGAGTGAGAGGGCGCCCGCGCCGGCGGTTCAAAGGATATGTTTAGTTTCCCCATCTGTACGTGTTCACATAGGGAAGGTCCGTCCAGGTCCGAAGTGCCATTTGTATGAGATCTCCGACTACCTAGACGTGGTCTTCGAACGGTGATCTTCCGAATCTGCCCTTCAAATTGCAAAGATTCTGTGAACCGAGTTATTGGAGCGCGTTTCCCCACGCAACCAGTATCGGGTATTCGGACATCCGTAGCTGAGCTTAAACGTGTTTGTGCTTCGTTGCGCAGACACGTGGCAGAAAATCGATTTTTGGCGTCACTACTTAAACTTCTTTCTGCGCCTAGAGCCTTGTTCTGAACGAAAAGTTTTGGCCTGCCGTTTATTAGTGCTGCCTGACTCCTTGTAACCGCAAGTGCACCACAGTGCTTCTACAAGGAGTCCAAGCGCAGTAATAAATGGAGGCAAACTTTTCTTCAGACAAGCTCAGGTGAGAACTGAAGTAGTAGTGACGGCAAAATCACTTTTGCCACGTTTGCGCAACAAGCAAAAAAACTTAAGGGCTTTAGGCAGGCTTTTTCCACCCCGTCCCGCCCACTCGATCCCAAGACCTGTTGCGTGGTAAACGCGGCTGCATAACTCGGTTCCAGAGAATCGCTTTGCAAATTTCGAAGGCAGATTCAAGATCAGCGTCCAAAACCACGTCTTCATGATTACTATCTCACATCACTAAATGGCACTTCGACGCTGAGACGCTTCCCCTAGTCAGATGAAACTCCAAACAATCACGATAATATTTCTCCACTCCGCGATCATCACTAAGGAAAAGATGGAGTAGCAAATCAAAGTGTGACAATATTCAAAACTTTTTTCTTCGTAAAAGAGTAAAGCGGAACCTGTACCGAGAGAATGAACATTGAATCCATCACGTGATCCAATTCTTTGACTTCATTGACTTCTGAGGCATAATTGCCGTGTCCCCGCAAATTATAGGGCCGAAGAGGACTAAAGAGCCACTATGAATATAAATCAGGTGAAGCAAATGGCGCATTTCTAATTTTCCAACTCGTTGCTTGCATCTAGCTGAAAAAGTCCGCTACACAAGGAGTCTTCTTCTGAAGGTTGCAGTGAGTGGTCACCAAGCGGGCTGTTTCTGCTGTTCTACTGCGCAGTTTGTCGACGGGTGGGGGAAGGAGTGGGGAAGAGAGAGAAGGGGACATTTGGCACTTCTGCTGCTTCCACTTGTTTATCTACAAAGTCCAGACCTGTGAAATCTTGTGAAGCCACAAAATGAAACCAGCGAAAGTTTGTGGAGACCACCTGCACTATCTTAGCAGTGAAATGCGATACAAATATCATTCTTCACGTGGCGGGTTATCGCTCGAACGAGCTTGCTCCAGCCTCATAAGTGTGCACAAGTTTCACCACAATGAAACTTGTAAATCAGAGCTGAATATGCAGCTGAAGTGAGTGAAAAATGCACCCCCCCCCCCCCTCATCGCCGAACTGCGCTGTTTCTACTAATTCTGAGGTCGGTAATTCCCAAGTGCACTTCTAAGCTCATAACGATAACTTCAAGTAATCGAGAAAACCTTAATGTTAGGACTGAGCTAAACGTCATCCAAATTTACCTTGAATGGACTTATGCGCGCTGAATGAACATCTCCTTTGCAGGATGGACTAGTGAACAAAGCGTTTTTCGCACCCGACTGTTTCCATTTCTCCCAGTGGGGCCATGCCCTGGTCTCGACGTGGTTGTGGAAGAACAGTCATGGAGACCAGGTGTGGAGCGAAACACTCTGGGTGGATGCCAGTGTACATACATTTGCATGGCTGTCCCTGACCCGGTAAGAGTTTCTACTATTTTCTGACTTAGTACCTGATTATGAATTATTGCAGGCGTGTCCATTCATTCGAACAAATGAGAACAGCAAAGATTGCAGTAGATACCTCACTCCAGCAGCAAACTCTTAGGATATTTTTATAGCATAGCTACGCATAAATCCTCTATTTCAATCAATCCAAAATACTTTTCTGACGAAATGAACACCAAGCCGCGACAAAGACAATCATGAGGTCATCGAGAGAGAGCAGACGCCCTTTACATGTCTTAGCGAACCCTAATGCTCAAAGCTGAGAGTGCACACAGAAACGGAAATGTAGAAAAGAGCTCAATCTTCGTTGGCCCTCTGAAAATGGTTTTCCCCCAACAAACGTATACCAAGGACAGTTCACAGTTGCATAATTTTAGATAGACGTTACAACTACCGTACCCAGCAAAAAGTCCAAGACAACATGCGCGACACACTCGATATCGACTGCGGGTCAGTTGATTCATGTTGCCCGAAAGCTGTGCTGTACAAGGAGTCACGTACCCGGTATTGCCACCAGACCTCATTGATTTGACGTGCACTGCAGCCCGTAATGCCAAACTCGATGCAGCCTCTTAGGTTGCTTCCGGGAGAGGAATGCGCGTTGCGTTTCAAAAAAATTTTTATTATAAAAACGAAATTAAACAAGGTCATCTAAAAGATAATCTCCATTACTAGCAATGACTTGTTGCCAACTGTACGCAAAAACTTCGCCAAAAGAGCCTCTTTCACTACTTTTCCCTCGGGTGTGTCGTTAGGTCCGCCGGAGAGGAAATGTAGGTCAAAAGAGCCTCTTTTTGCCAGTTTTTCGCCGCCGAGTGTGTCGCTAGGTCCGCCCGCTGCCCCTGTGAGCCGAGTGGGTCATTAGGTCCACCCAAGTGCGTCGTTAGGACTTGCTTGAAGTCTTACCACATACAAGCTCGCATTCGAAATTTTTGGTCGAGCATTTTCTAAACTTTTTTTCTCTAAAAAACAAGTAGACATAGAAAAATATATGCCAAAAACAGATGCGCAATAAAAACTCCCTTCTCTCTAATGGACAAAACTGTTTTGAAAAATCTCCTATAGTAGAAGAGAAATAAATAGACAAAGTCAAGGCGCATTCCTTTCCGAACAACCTAATAGTTTGTGAGAGTCACCACAACGTAGACCTGGTGACTGGGCGGCCTGTCCTACTCCTATTGGCACCCTACTCTCTCTACTAATCGGTCATAATCGTCAAATTCCACGTCGCGAAAAATTATCCCTGGTCCCGCTGAATGAGCAGGTGGTCTCCACACGAGAAACTTACTGCCAGTCGAGGTTTTTTATTTATTTATTTATGCACGCACAGGTGCGCTTTTACAACACTTAAGTTCTAAATAGAATCAAAACTACTATCTTACCTAACGCTAAACTGAGAAACAGAGAATCGTTAGAACAGGTAGAAAGTTCTCCGGTCAGAACTTTGCTATAAGAATAAAAAAATCGACGAAAGAGCCAAATCTTTCCTACTTGTAGGGGTCCCTCTGCCTTGGGTAACTCGCACCATTAACTCAATGAAATAAAATTCAGTAAAAGCATTCTTGTGGCAACTTTCGGAGCGCGAACTGCGGCGTAAAACAGCAGTTAGCGTAATACAAAACTCCAAAACAATGTCGAATATAAGTTGCTTTCTGGCCAAGCCGATGTCTAGGTGAACCTTTTATTGACCCTAACGTTTCGACCTTCTCGTCTT